ATGGAACATACGTATTTATTCAAAAAAGTTCTGCATACAAATTTCAACGCCTTTCCTACTCTATGCACAAGAACAGACCACTTGTTAAACCGTTTATTATCACCTCAACAACAGGCTATATTGTTGATGTAATGGGTCCTTATTTGTCCAATGGCAAAAATAATGATGCTTCCATTATTAAACACATCATGAAAAAAACAGGAACAACATAATGAACTTTCTCAAAGAAAATGACGTATTAATTGTAGATCGCGGATTTAGAGATGCCGTTGAATTTCTTGATGAGCTCGGTTTTCAAACAAAAATGCCCGCTTTCCTACAAAAGTCCTCTAAGCAACACAACACAGCGGAGGCTAACATGTCACGTCTTGTGACAAAAGTCCGCTGGGTAGTTGAGGCAGCAAATGAAAGAATTAAAAAATGGAAGTTTCTAGACAATGCCATCCCTTTTAGCCAGATACCTATAAGCATAAAAGATTTTGTGAACAGTCATAGAAAAAAGCAAAAACGCTGTTCAAGAACGCATCAGAAAAAAATCCAAACTTAAAATTCAGAGACAAGTCACAAAAGTGGACTAATATAGAAGCAAAACATGCATTACCAGAATTTCCCAAGTTAAGTGAAGATGAATTGCGTATTTTGACTTTTGGGGTGGACCAAATTAAACAGGCCCGAAAATATTCAGATGAACAACTTGGGGGAAGGTGACTGTAAAATTGATCTTTCTTGCGAGGAATCCGACTTACTACATGCCCGTATACAATCATGACATACATCGTGAAAATTGTACAATATCTGGATTGAGTATTCCAAGGAAAATGTGACAGGGTGGTATTGTGAGTGCAAGGGTGGTTCAAGAACAGTCGGATGTTGCGCACATGTATGTTCGGTAGTGTGGTACCTTGCATGCGCACGACACAAGGGCTACCAGGCTGCTCCTGATATGTTCACATCTTCACTGTGCGATGCAGCTGATATTGTTGTAGAAACAGATTCTGGAGAAGAATATGTTTAATGTTGATATTCAATGAAATTTGTCAGATACGCAGTTGTAATTAAAATTATTTTATATGTATTCTGTTCTGATAATTTTTTTTTCTCTCTCGCTTTCTCTCGCTTTCTCTCTCTCTCTCTCTCTCTCTCTCTCTCTCTACTCTCTGAACGTTCTTATTTCCAACTGCTGAAATCTAAAATAGTAAAATACTTTGATTACTCTCTATATAATCTTATATAAAGTTTACAAATTCAATGTCTTTAACTGGAATATTAGAAGAGTAATAATTCTTTACAAAGTACTTTATTATAAAGTAACATTTCTTGATGTGCAGAATTTGTTATGGACATACGCATCCCTTACCTACTGATAATTTTTCAAGACATTCTAAATCTAATTTATCATATAAACCAGAAGTCTCTGTCGAGACTGTAGCTCTACTGGTTTGTACTTATAACAAAGGAAGAGAAAAGAAGCCATTGCCATCAGACCAAAAATGTAGAAGGAGTAGCGTTTTAAAGGCATTTCACAGACATTTCTATTTTTAGTAACAATGGCAACACTGTTCATCGAAATCAAAAAACGATTCACTATTTTATGTATCTTAGTGTAGTCTACACTTGTGCCAAGTTATATTGAAATCAGACCAAAATTGTAAGAGTAGCGTTGTAAAGGCATTTCACAGAAAATTCTATTTTTAGTAACCATGGCAACACTATTCATCGAAACCAAAAACCGATGCACTATTTTACGTATCTTTGTGCAGTCTCTTTGTGTGCCAAGTAATATTGAAATCAGACAAAAACTGTATAAAGAGTAGTGTTTTAAAGGAATTTCACAGAAAATTCTATTTTTAGTAACCATGGCGACACCGTTCATCAAAATAAAAAACCGATGCACTATTTTATGTATCTTAGTGTAGTCCACTTGTGTGCCAAGTAATATTGAAATCAGATCAAAACTGTAGAAAAAGTAGCATTTTAAAGTAATTTTACAGAAAATTCTATTTTTAGTAACCATGGTAACACCGTTCATCAAAATAAAAAACCGATGCACTATTTTATGTATCTTAGAGCAGTCTGTTTGTGTGCCAAGTAATACTGAAATCAGATCAAAACTGTAGGAGGATTAGCATTTTAAAGGAATTTCACAGAAAATTCTATTTTTAGTAACAATGGCAACACCGTTCATCGAAATCAAAAACGGATGCACTATTTTATGTATCTTAGTTTAGTCTACTTGTGTGCCGAGTAATATTGAAATCAGATCAAAACTGTAAGAGGAGTAGCGTTTTAAATGAATTTCACAGAAATTTCTATTTTTATTAACCATGGCAACACCGTTCATCGAAATCAAAAAACGGATGCACTATTTTATGTATCTTAGTGTAGTCTACTTGTGTGCCAAGTTATACTGAAATCAGATCAAAACTATAGGAGGAGTTGCATTTTAAAGGAATTTCAAAGAAAATTCTATTCTTAGAAACCATGGCAACACCGTTCATCGAAATCAAAAACGGATGCACTATTTTATGTATCTTTGTGTAGTCTACTTGCGTGCCAAGTTATATTGAAATCAGATCAAAACTGTAGGAGGATTAGCATTTTAAAGGAATTTCACAGAAAATTCTATATTTAGTAACCATGGCATTACCGTTCATCGAAATCAAAAACGGATGCACTATTTTATGTATCTTAGTGTAGTCTACTTGTGTGCCATGTTATATTAAAATCAGACCAAAACTGTAGGAGGAGTAGCGTTTTGAAAAATTGTTTACAGACAGACGGACAGCTATACAGACAGACGGACGGACGACGGACACCTTACTCAGACCAGTAGAGCTAAAAATTATCCATATTTGTCCTTCTTTGCTGATTTCTACATTGTTTTCAAAATGTTTTTAAATATAAGTACACAAAAAATTGTGATATAGGCCATACAGAAGATTACCCATAAGGGTTATATAAGAAATATGACCCTGTGGTATCTTGTCCAAGTGCCTGGTAAGCTACCCCAATATTTTGTGAGGCAATTTGTATAAGTGCCTATACTTCAATGACAAATTCTTTGGAAAAATTATATATTTTTGAGGAACGTGTCATCTGACCTTAAACCATGAATTATTGGTACAATCGATTCCTTTCAAAAACAAATCTAAAACGTTTGAAAGTTGAAATTTAGATGTTAAGTTACTGTTTGGAATTAATTTAAAAATAGCAAAAGAAGTAAAATGGTACTTAACTTAAGTTTGTTAAGCGTAAACTTTCTGTAAAAGTGATATATATTTAAATCTCTAAAGTTAAAGATACCAAACTTGTATTTGGAAATCTGAATTTTGAATTTTGTAATCGGATAAAAACTATTGGGGCAGCAGCCTTCTGAAAGAATTTTACAAAATTTCTATTTTAGAAACCATGGCAAAACCGTTTGAGGTAGTTCGATCCTCAGGGTTTGAAAACCAGGCATTGAATAATTGAAAATTCTTTCAAAAATGTCTCTGAATTCTCAAGTATTGCTTTTATCCGCGATAGTTCTTCAAACTTCATTTTTAAAGTTAATCATATTATATAGGGAAAATTAGTAAATTTCGACTAAATTTTCAGCAAAATGAGAATAAAAACTCCTACTATGCATTTTCCATTTAATTTTGATCAATAAACACCATTTAGAAATTAAACTGAGATATCCAGCCTTTTGAAAAAAATTCACAATTTTTATACATACGAGTATAAGGCACTTTAGTTTCTTTTAGTTACTTCGACCATTTTACAATGCATAGTGTCTAAAGATTTTCCTATCATTGCAAAACATTATAAGTCACTTCTCATTTCAGTTTATATTAATATGCATTGGTATTTATGGTTCGAATAGAAAAAAAAACTCGTTTTCTTGAAATTTGTCATTTCAAAATGCTTTTATGGGGTAAATATTTCGAATTTTTATAAGACCTTTCTGAGAACTTCAAAGAACCTTGAAATACATTGAGAGGTATCTAATGAAAATTGTTGCATGAAAAGATTTAATTTTCAAGCTTCATTTTGAGACTTTTTGAATTAAATTATAAATTATAGAGTAATCCTCGCTGGCTGAGGATCGCAGTACCAAAAATCACTTCTTATTTCATGCTAATAAACATTGGTATCTAAGGTTAAAATAAAGAAATCCAATTTAATTACGTTAAATGTATAATTTTAAACTACTTTTATGATGTACTAATAATAACGTTTTATAAAATTGTTTCTAAAAAACATCAAATATCAATCTGAGATGAATAAAATAATAATTGTTGCATGAAGAGATTTCAATTTCAAGCTTCATTTTGAGAGTTTTTGAATTAAACTATAAATTAAAGAATTATCCTTCCCGACTGAGGTCAACAATAACAACAAAAATGAACTAATTTAAAATTATGTATCTCAGTATAATCTTCCTGTGATCAAATTTATATTGAAATCAGATAAAAATGTTAGGAGGAGACGCATTTTTGAAGTATTTTACAACCACGGCAACACCATTATTCCAAAGGAGAAAAAAAATACAAACTTATTTATTTGAGTTTGAAATAAAGTATCCAAATCATGCAATGACCTTTTTGAGGGTTTGCAGAGTAATTAAATGTAAATAAAAACCAACGAAAACTACCGGCTTTGGAACAAGCCCCCCCCCCCCCCCCGGGAAAAAATAGGACAAAATTTTTAGCTTTCCACTGCCAAGTGGTGGCGTCTCCATATGCGTAAAAAAATCTCGAGAGGGATGTTAAACAACATACAATCAATCAATCTTCTGGTCTCTGACCAGTAGAGCTAAAATAGACGTTGATTTTTTAAAAACAAAAGCCTGGCTCTATAGATCATAGTCAATGTAAAAAGCCTATGACACACAAGTGATTACCGATATCACACCAAATTATATTACCAATCATTAATAAAATTCCTCTAATCTTATTTTATAAATGCTATATTCGTCAGGACACACTCGCAGTACTATCAAACGGAACTTTTCTTATCGGAACACATGACGCCTTCCCAGGGCCACTAAGAACTGCCATGTCCCCAACTAGCATGCTGGGGACAAACTATAGATGTAAATATTTACCGTGTAACAAAATATGAAAAGAGGAAAGGATGTGAAGATCCCTCTATTATTTTTATTTGCGCTAGGGGTGGGGGTAGGGGGCGTGAGTGTTACTCTGGACGATTTGACGTCACGGTACCTATGTGCGTCACAGTGTTTGACGTTCTCCTCGGACAGCCCGGTAAGTAAATTACTTTAAAGGTTGATTTTATTGATGATAAAATAAAAAAAAAACAATTTGTATGTTATGAAGTATTAATGGGTACTATACTGAAATGGATTTTAAAATTCGTGTAATGTTACTATATTGCTATTGAATTATTGAATTTTTGTGTAAGAAGAGAAAGACGTGGGTCTTACAGAATTATAACATTCAGATATCATTTGTATGCTATTCTCTTTTATCGATGATTACAGTAATGACAATGAAAATTACAAACCATTTTTTCTTCCCCTTTGTAGAACATTTATTCTCAGTACTCTGCATACTGCGGACAACCAAATCCACAGTTTTCTTACGGGTGTCAGGTTAGTAGAATTTAAAAAAAAATACTTTTTTCCATACATATCATACTTATTTACTAATGAAGTCCATTATTCCAAATCCTTATTTTCCTTTTACAGAGTCAGGGCTGTGCTGGGTCATGTAACTCCCTGATTTTGATTATTCATGGTAAGTAATCTATATCCTGTAGAAAAATTGCAGAAATTCAAATTGTGATATATTTACATAAACTAAATACTTTTTCCTTTAAATCTTTCTCTCTCAACCCAAGGGTTAAATGGTTCAGATCTGGCGAGAGGAATTCTAGAAATATTAGCAGACAATGTACATTCCTAGCAAGACTAAACACCCTACCACTTTTGACCATTTTAATTAAAGAATTTTAGACAAGGGCATTCATATAATGACTGTCGTATTATAGCTGTGATTATAGACCTTTCCAAATATACATGATTCTAGAATCCAAGACATAGGACACTTGAAAAAGTATCATTTATGGGAACTTTTGAACAAGATAAGATAGGGCGTTCATATATGGCAATGTTCATTACCTTTGTCAAGGCTTTTCTAAATGTAGATGTTTTGACCTCGTTACTGTTACCTTAGAGGTCAACCTTTTGTGCTTTTAAAGTTATAAGCACTGAATTATTGAAGACAGAAATATTGTTTTTATTTTATATGTACATTACTCATGACAACATCTTTCAGAGAAAGGTACCAAATTTGTCTTCATTTTTTTATGTTATTGTTTTCACTCTTCTATCAATGAAACACACCATTAATTAAATATATTTACGTTGATAAGCATTAAAAAAGTTAACAAATTAATTAGCCGGGCTTATTGCTCAAAGAGCAATTGCCGGCTTATGTGATCCTGTTCAAGGCAGGATGTTAACCCCATAGTCGCCATTTCAAAGTTACGTGCAAAAATATAGTTCTTACTCTCAGCCGCTTTTGAGATAATACAAACGCTAAATAAAGCAACAAAAATAAAACGAAGTTTTATCTATATAAAATAAACATTAGTAGTAATGACTTTGAAAACTTCATAAGTCAAAGAACATAGTTCATTAGCGTAAGGATTTTTGATAATCAGTGTTACGTACCGTAGTTCTCTACACATACGAGGTAAAGGAGGAGAGGGAACCAGACTGGCCTGTTTGTTTACATTCAGCTGCGGTACCAGATTAATTTTGATTCTGACAAAATCGGACCGTGGTATTAGGATTGAAAAACTCACTGTCAGTGTCTTATCATTTATATTGATAGTTTTAAAATAATTTTTTCATCAGAATATAAACGTGATTCATGTAAGAAATCCATTCTACTCTGTAAATGAGCGCGGCTCTCTGTACTTCTGAGTACTTTGATTTTTTACTCTTTTAATACTAGTACATGTAACTTGCAGATATCAGAAAAGCGGCAAGTATTCCATCACTCAGTGCGCATTACGTAACAGGAACTGATATTTTGATCACGTGGTCTTCACCAGCCACGCCCTATTACACGCGCTACCTTCTGCAGATAAAATCTTACCGACAATGGGTATCCATCGCTGAGGTACTTATTAAAACTTACTCTTTATATTTAAAAACTACATATATCTCTATATTTCCATTTCTATTTTTTTCCCTCTGTGATAACTCTTTGAAAGTTAGCGGAGTTGATTTCTTTATAATTCTATCGGAATGTAAAGTAGGCAGGTCGATAGGTCAGGAGCTAAGGAGGCCAAATATGCATGTAAATCTCGTGCGGCTACCTTTGTGTTTGACGTCAGTGGCCGAGGACTTGTCATGGGAGTACTCGTTTAATTAATTATTTAAAGCTATGTCTGCATTTTAAAAATCTAAATCTACATTTTCAGTACACAATGAAATGGAAATATAAGGAATCACTGTCTAGTTAGTATGGTATGCCAGGGACATCAACGATAGTGGGAAACATGGGATAATTTATACATAACGGGCTTCGCCCGTTATGCAAATTATCCCATGTTTCCCACTATCGTTGATGCCCTGGCATACTATACTAACTAGATAGTGATTCCTTAAATAAGTCAGCAAGATTCAAGTGAAGAAATCAATCAACTGGAAAATTTCATTAATCAAAGTGTCAAAAAACTCAAAGAAAAGTAACAAAATATTGCTTATATAAGAAAATTTCTATACAAAAACTTACAAGTCTATAATATTATTTTCATTGTCTGACAGATAACCACAACAAGTTATAGGTACCATAACACTAACCCCTGTAACAACATCACATTCCGAGTGATAGCCGTCAATCAGTATGGAACCAAAGGATTCTCCAGCGCCTGGACTGTTACAGGTATTCTTTTATTAACCGTGTTAATAAATAAGTCACTTTTAGCTGCAAGAAACAATCATAAAGGGAGTGGATTAAAATTGCAACAAGATTACAAGGGGTCCTTTGACTTGGGCTTGCATCCTTAACACTATACTGGACACAAAATACTGACAGAATCGACTTCCTTTTCTTTCTCGTTACAAAGATGCTACATTAAATGGTCGGAGGTATGAGGCTGACGACTACAAAAAAGTCAAAGATCAGTATTATAGTTTTCAAGAAGAAACAGAGAAGAAAGGAGAATAAAGGAAAAAAAGCTGAAGCTATAAGACAGTAATAACTTTTGGATAAATCTTTATATTTCCAAAGATTCTGGTGAAGATAGACACTGTTAACTACGGATGAGAGTCGCCCGCGTGGCGCATTTGTTAAAGCGCCTGCTCTAGAGTCTCGAAGCAAGGACTTGATCCTTACGTCGCGGATTCAAATCCCACTGTGGGACGTGGAGACCGGTCCTTCGGATGAGACCTGTAAACCGAGGTCCCGCGTCACAGTACGTGCTGGCACGAAAAAGACCCCTCACTGCTCAATGGCCCTAAGTGTCGAGGATATGACAAAATTTGCAGCTCTCCACCGGCAAATGGTGGCGTCCCCATATGGTTAAAAAAAATTCTCGAGAGGGACGTTAAACAAGCAAACGAGAAACAAACAATAAAAGAATGAGAACATAAAATTGGTTCAGTATTTGCGAGACATTGGAAAAATTCATGTTTATTTACTTACAATTTAAACAATATTTTACAGCTCCAAGTCCACCCTCTGCCCCACAGAATGCACAGTTGATGGAAGGCGCCATGTTCTATGTACCTAGAGCAAAAGAGTTCGCTGGGATTTTACAGGTTGACGGAATTCAAGGTACACTGAAATATTTACATTTGTCAATGTTTCGATTCAGTTATAAGCATGAGATAAAGTAAAATCCTCTCGAACAAAATATTCCTCAGCCTCATGGCTTCCGGGATTCAGTTTGGTTCTTGCTATCTTGGGTCCGAAAAAATGCACGTTGCACTCGAAGCAAGTAAATAAATGTACATTGTTTGCTTCACACAATGTCAAAGGATTAAATGTGGAATTTTCTGGGACTGGCGGTGTATGTTATATTCTTTTTTGCTTTTAAATCTATCATTTTTGTATTATCAGACTGGAATGCAGACGAGATAGAGTACTACCAATGGAGCACGCTGCCGACCGCCTACTGCCGAAACATGAACAGTGTGGTACTGCCAATATTCGATCCACTGGCTTCCTCTGATGCTGTAAGCATTGACGTGAATGGACTTCAGTTAAAATTTGCACAAAAATGCGAAATCTTCGCACGAGAAGACAAAAAGAGCCACGCATGATATTTGCAAGAAAATGTCATGCGATTTTCACATAAAATTCGCACCATTTTAAAAGCAATATGAGCATATCAAGAGAACAATGTAATATACATTTTATAATTATAATGGATTCCTAAAAACGATCAGACCTCTTGGTCCCATTGTACGAGGATGGCACTTCTATCGATTCAACAAAACACGAATAGCGCTCTTATTCTTTTACCAAAGAGATGGTTGTTTTGATCAATTTTAGGTTTCTGGTATACACTTCAGGACTGGGGTCCGAATCCACGTCGACGGATATGGTTGTATTTATACTCTACAGGTATGTTTGCAAGAAAAAAACGGATAATGAATACTAAGATTATTTTTTTCACTTCCGGTGTGGCTGCGCAAATGGCGTGAAGTGAGAAGGAGCAGAGGGTCGTTTTTTCTGTTTTCCTAAGTGAACATTAATATTTGATACGAGGCATTGCAGATAGTTTTCTTAATTACGTGAAGACATTCGTGTTTTAGGTGAATTTCAGGTATTTTCCTCTTTGTTAAATGCAACAGACTGTAAGTCACTACTTTGCACAAGGAAATTCGGGAAGCTCGTGCAAGATGCCGAAGAGAAAAGATACGGAGAAGGAGAGTGCGCAAAATGATGAGGTGTCAAATAAAGAGTTAAAGGAACTTTTCTCTAATCTAATACAGAAGTTGGAGAGTTCAATGAACGAGAGGCTTACTGCGCTTGACAAAAAAGTAGAGGAAACGCTGATCGTTATTAAGGAGGAGATAACTGATATGAAAACAGCGCTTCAAAACCAAGATGACCGATTAACTGATTTAGAAAAGCTAAACACAGAGGTTATACAACCCCAAAGTAAAAAGGTAAGCCTTCTTGAGGCTTCTTTAAAAGAACTGCAAGATCATATTACATACCAAGAGTTAAGATCTCGGAAATACAACCTCTTATTTTATGGCATTCCTAAAGCAGAGAATGAAGTTTCAAACGAGGTTATTGTGAAATTTTTGAGTGAAAAATTGGGCATGTCAACAGCAGAGTCTATAATGATTAAAAACTCTCATAGGGTTCCAAAAAACCCCAACAGCAGTTACAAACCTGAAGCACCAGAAGCAGTCATTGTTAAATTCGTTCTTATGGAGGACCGTAATATGATACTAAATCATGCCAGAAACACTACCCTACCGAAAGGCTATGCAATACGAACAGATCTACCCGTGCATTTGAAGAGAAAGAGGGCAGAGCTGGCTCAAAAGGCATATGAACTCAGGAAATCAGGAATGAAGACGAGAATCCGTGAAACGAAAGACGATGTGATTCTGGAGTATCGACAAAAAGGAGAAAAAGAATGGCTCGCTTTTAGTGATTCCTTCTAATTGATCTAGATAAGAACAAGATTATTTGCAGGAGATGACAGGTTGTAGGAGTATGATATGGTGAAGGTTTTGTATATCTGTAAAGTGCTGAGTTATGCTACAGTTGGTATCGTGTTGTTTACTTGTCAAATAATAAGTATGTTTTAGATGCTATTAGAAAGATATACTAAGGTATGCTGCAGATGTTTAAAAGTAAAATACCAGTGTTTTGAGCTTTGGATGATATCTGTAAAATTCAGAGTTATGCCTTAGTTGTTAATAACTTGTAAAATATTGAGAATTTTTGGTATCGTTATCTGTGAACTACTGTGTTATGTCATAGTTGATAACTTGTAACATATCTACATGTAGTATGTCTCAGGATATATATTTGTTTGGCAGCTTATGGTTTGCTGTATAAATTACATGGGGACATATTGGTTTTTTCTTTTTAATGTAATAAATACCTAAATTTCAACAAAGATTACAAAGATTACTGGTAGAAGTTCTTAGAGGAGCTTGTATTTATTATTATTTTTTCTATGAGAGTACTAGGGTTCACTATCTTATTAAGGTGGCTAAGTTAATTAAAAAGACCCAATGCGATGTAATACATGAATTTTCTTGATTTGTTTTGTTACCATACAGGAAGTATTTTTCATTTTTGATATATGTGTGAAAGAATGGAGAGTATGCAACATGCATATTTTTTTGCCTTTATTCAACTGTGTAGTGTAATCTATGACTAAGTTAAAAATTACTTCTGTAAACTGCAGAGGTTTACATGATTCTATGAAAAGAAAGGATGTCCTAAACTATTTAAGAAATTTTAAATCATCTATTTATTGTTTACAAGACACCCACTGTACAGAATTAGAGAAAAATTCAGTTTATGCCCAATGGGGTAATGACATACTCATCAGCTCAGGAAAATCAGATGCAAGAGGGACTTTAACCCTTTTAATAACACAAATGAAATAAAAATTTCTAAAGTTTATAGTGATAATGAGGGGAATTTCATTATATCAAATATAATGGTGGAAAACAAGTACTCAATCACTTTGGTTAATTTTAGTGTTGGCAAATCGGACGATTTTTAGTAACCGGTTACTCGCTTCATCTTCCGATCGAGTACCCGGTTACTCGGATGATTTTTGGTAAAAGTAATAATATCTATCATTTATCTTATTCTATACTTATCGGTAGTAGTAATGCACAAATATACTGTATAGGGACATTATATTTACAATACACACATACGATATCGTCAAAGATTTACGATTTTTAAAAAAGAAAATTAATAGGGAATTCGACACACAAAGACAAATAAATACGTCATCGCCAATCACCATCTTACTTTCTTTTTCAGCCCCCGAAATATGTCGCAATCAAGGAGAATAATTATTTACATACTCCATAATTAATAGTTTATATGTGGAGTGTCCAGTAAATCGCTGGTTTCCGAATAATTTAAGCTTAAGTGATTTAAAAGATTTTGAATGAGCTGTTCTTTTGTTACAACTCCAAGCTTAATATGGTGGCATCTCGTTAAATTATCAAATGGGGTAATCATAACTCAGGCCTTCAAAAAATGTATACCCCAAGCAATCAAAGCTATCAATTATATAAACTGTAAAAACTAATCAAAACAATTTGATTCACTACAACCATGCACTAGATCAAGTCTAACGGTACCTAAAATTAGGGAAATGTGTAAGTTAGTATACATTTATAAATTATAAAACATTCACTTTCTATCCCTTTACTATGTAGAATTTATTTTATCCGAGTAACCGAATAGCAATTTTACTAACCGATACTCGCAACGTTCGACGGTTAACCGGTTAACCGGGTACTCGTTGCCAACACTAGTTAATTTATATGGTCACAATAAAGATAATCCTAAATTTTATGCAGAAATAAGTGATAAAATGGATGATTTTTTTGATACTGACTTTATAATTATGTGTGGAGACTGGAATGTAGTACAAGATTACCAGTTAGACTGTTACAATTATGTTAGAGAAAACAATCCCAAAAATAAAATTGAAATTGAAAAATTAAAATCAAAATTCAATTTAGTAGATCCTTGGAGAATCAAAAACCCAGATGCTAAAAAATATACATGGAGTAGGAAGAACCCAGTAAAACAGGCTAGACTTGACTTTTTTTTAGTATCAGAGGAAGTCTTATCAATTATAAATGATGTTCACATGATGCCAGGCTATAGGACTGATCACTCTATCATAGAATTAGATATTACTATTAATGAATTTAAACGTGGAAAGGGATTCTGGCGTTTTAACAATTCCTTATTGAGAAACAAAGAATTTGTGACAAATGTTAAAAAAATTATAAGGGAAACGGATAATGAATATCGTATTGATGAATCAATGTTAGGAATACCAGATAATCTTTTTCTTGATGTTCTATTAATGAAAATAAGGGATATGGCAATACAATTATCTGCAAATTTGACCCGAGAAAGGAGGGATCACAAAGCAAAGATTGGAAATCAACTTAGAATTTTACATGATATGTATAATAATTACCCTTTGTCAATTTATCTAGATATGATAAGTGACCTTGAGACAGAATTAGAGGAAATTAGAAAATATGAATTGAAGGGGCTATTGTTAAGAAGTCATTGTAAATGGAAAGAAGATGGGGAGAAACCTACAAAATATTTTTGTGCCTTAGAAAAAAGAAATTATGTCAATAAAAATATTAGCAATTTAATCAATAATGATGGTAAATATGTAAATAAGCAAGCAGATATCTTAGAAGAAGTAAGGAACTTTTACAAAAAATTATATGAAAACAAAGATCAGGAGCTTGATGATGTAAATCTTGAAGACTTATTCCAAAACTTTGAGGTTCCTAAAATAAATAATGATATGAAAAACATTTTAAATGCTGAAATTACAAAACAAGAAATACTTCAAGCTCTTAAAAATTTTAAGAACGATAAAACACCTGGAACTGACGGTTTTACAGCAGAATTTTTCAAGTTTTTTTGGACAGATATTAATTCATATATTCTCAAATCCTTTAATTACAGCTATGAAGTAGGTCAATTATCTTATACTCAGATGCTTGGAATTATTTCTATTTTACCAAAAGGCAATAAGCCAAGGGAACAATTAAAAAATTGGCGACCAATTACATTATTGAACATTACATATAAACTCTTATCTAGTGTCTTAGCAAACCGAATGAAACCAATTCTGTCAAAAGTAATACATGAAAATCAAAAAGGGTTTCTTGCTGGTAGATATATTGGTGAAAACTCAAGGTTATTATATGACATCATACATTATTGTAAAGAGAATGATCATTCAGGTCTTGTTTTATTGATTGACTTTGAGAAAGCATTTGACTCTATTTCTTGGAGATTTATTTTTAAAGTACTCAGATTTTTTAATTTTGGTGAGAATTTTTTAAAATGGATAAAGATTTTGTTTAGAGAACCTAAGTTATGTGTTATTCAAAATGGTATTTTTTCTGAATTTTTCCAAATGGGACGAGGTTGTAGGCAAGGTGACCCAATTTCACCTTACTTGTTCCTACTATGTGCAGAAATAATGGGAATTATGATTAGAAATAATAAATTAATAAAGGGCATTGTTATTGAAGATAAAGAATATAAACTACTACAATATGCCGATGATACAGTTTTATTAATGGATGGTTCAGAAGACTCAATTAGATCAGCTTTGTCTTTAGTCAATCAGTATTCCAAATTCTCTGGACTGAAGCCAAATTATGATAAAACTCAATGTATTAGGATTGGATCTACTGTTCATACTGATGATAACTTGTGTGATAAATATCAAAACTTGATGTGGTCACAGGAACCATTTACAGTGTTAGGTATAGCATACTGTGTAGATCTAGACACAAACACTATGTTTGATTTGAATTTTTTGCCAAAGATTGACTCTATCAAAAAGCTTATATCATCATGGTCTAGAAGACATTTATCAACGGCAGGTCGTATAACAGTAGTAAAAACCTTGCTTTTACCTAAATTTAGTCACTTATTAATTAGTTTACCGAGCCCTTCTAAAGAAAAACTCAAAGAAATTGAAGCTATATTTTTTCATTATATCTGGAATACCAAAACGGCTAGGGTGGCTAAAAATATTATATGCCAAAGTTATGAAAATGGTGGTATGAGAATGACATGTCTTGATTCATTTTGTAAAAGTTTAAAAATTACATGGATTCGCAGATTGTTTGATAGTTCATGTAAATCAGCCTGGAAAGAATTGCTAAAAGATTTAATTCCTGACATTAAATATTTAGTTATCTATGGTAGGGATTTTTCAAAAAAACTTAAGAAAGATACGGAAAATGTTTTCTGGAATGATGTTTTTTCAGCATTGTTGGATTTGAGATTATGTATTGATGATCAAACATCTATTTTAAGTCCCATATGGTATAATCCATCAATATGTATAAACAACAGAAGTGTTTGTTATAAGTCATGGCTGAGACAAGGTATACAATTTGTTTTTGATTTTTATGATACAAATGGGACTTTGTTAGGATACCAAGACTTTTGTAAACAATATGATTTAAAAACACCTTTTACAATGTTTTTAGGCATAACAAATTGTATTAGAAAATTACAGTTGAATTATGATCATAATATAATTCAAAGAAATCAACCTTTCTTCCCAAAATTCTTACAAACAATAACAAAAAGCAAACAAGGTGCAAGAGATTTCTATGATGTTTTTATTAGTCAGAAATACAAAAAACCAAAAAGTGAAATGAAATGGGAAAACATTTTAGAACTTAATGTTGATGAATTTTGGTGGAAAAAACAAAACATTCTGTTTTTTAACATAACAAATGATATACAGTTAAGATGGTTCCACTATAGAATTGTACATAGAATTTTAGCTACAAATACATATTTACACAAAATTGGTGTTACTGACTCAGATTTATGTAGTTTTTGTAAGAAACACCCAGAGACACTTTGTCATCTTTTTTGGGAATGCGAGTGTGTTGCAGAAATTTGGGAAAATGTACTGGATTGGATGAAAGAACAGTTTGGAGTTGATATATCTCTAAACAAAGTTGATGTTTTGTTGGGAAAACATTATAAATATAACAATATATTTAATTTAGTAGTATGTATAATAAAAAAGCATATTTATAGAAATAGATGCAAAAAATGTGTACCATCTTTTGAGAGGGTCAAACAAGAGGTTATGTATTATTTTAATTGTGAAAAATATATTTATAAGAAAAATGGGGAAATGGACAGTTTTAAAAAACGATGGAATTTGATAATGTTTTAATATGATTAATATATTTGAAAAAACAATGCAGTTACAGATGTACATCAACTTTTCACTGATTATATTAAGATTTCAGTTGTTAAATATTATTATAAATATAATCATATGCATGTTATGTAGCGAAAGGTGTGTGAATGATATGTGAAAAAAATGTCCTGTCACATTATGATTGTGTAATATATATGTGTATTATGTATGTTACTTAGTGAACCCAGGGCCCCAACCCTGGCAATATTATATACTTGGACATGTGATGGGGCAAAAAAAAAAAAAAAAAAAAAAAAAAAGATTATTTTTTTTAATATGAAAAAATCCGCATTTTTTCTAATATTTAGCCATCTAAAAAAATTAATTTTTTATTCTCAGGTTCGTGCAGTTTCCAAATGTGGAGTGCCAGGACCATACAACAACATAACCATTGACTTGTCAGGTATTGCAGGCTTTTTGTTGTTTATTTACCGGTATATAACACACATTTCAAGTATGATTTGATAATTAAATATATGTAAAAAAAAAAAAAAAAAAAGAAGAGAGAACATCTACATAGGTATTTTTTTAAATACATAAAAAACATTATCTCTAATTCTCTAACATTTTCTACAACAATAATTAAAAATTCAGTAATCCAGCACATAAAATGGAAGAGTACTCACCGTTATAATATATTTGCATATATATTTCAACAGATTGCTCGAAAATCCGCGATTTTTACTGCCGCCCCATCAGAGGGTCACGATGTAAGTACGAAGACTTTATAGAAAATTGCATTTTTTAGTGTTCTAAAGATGTCTAAAGACCCCCAAAATATACAGCAAGGATTTTCTGCATCCATCTGTGGGTTATGTTGTGCATTCTTAGGGGCCTATATCTGTGAATTTTATGTGTTGTGCTTTGTATGACACAATTTTTATGCTGTCTTTCCCCAGGAAAAAGTTTGACTTAAAAAAAATAGTTATTCCTGCATATATCCTGTTTAGCTGTATTGACTGACTTCAATTGTATCGAAAATTGTCTAAGGCTTTGTTTTACAAGACAATAATAAGTATTGATGTATCATTATATAATTGTTCTTTTAACCCTTTTATACGTTATATAAGTCGACCCACCAGGAGGCGTAGAGAACGTCACTTTGAGGATGGATATGAACCACCCCCAGGTATGGTTAAAAGTTCAATGGAAAAAGCCATCAGACCTGGGAACTATGGGAGTAATAAATCATTACGTCATGAGGTGGGGAAAGGTCACAATGCCTGTGTTTTTACTGGACCAACCACACTACACCCATGAACCACTCAATACAACCTTAGCGAGCGTATGTTCTCAGTTTTCTCAAGTTCACACTTAATTCACACTTTATACTTCGTCCAGTTTCATTTTGGGATCTGTACTTCTTTTTGCATCTTTTGTCAGAAATATTGTTTTTGATTTTTTTTAATAGGACATCGTCGAATTCGGAATTCAAGTCAATGACGAGCCAGACGCAACCTATGGGTTTCAGGTACAGTATTCTTTTAGACTTACAACGAGTCTTCTACTGTGGAATTTAAGGCATACAAAAATTGGGGAAATACGTATAGGTTCCATAACTGTGCGAGCTAGTAAACACTTTTTTCCCAAAAATCAATAAAAAAAAAATCCCAGAATCTTGCTGGATGTCTCTTAAAAATGGAAAATCGGTTTAGCTATCCGACCTCTTCCTCTCATTATGAAACAAGACTTTAGTACTTTTGTGTTTTGGTAAAAATAAATCAAGCCTAATCCGTAAGATTGCATGACCTTGATGATCTTGTCGAAATGAAGTATAAAGATTTTAAAAAAACGTAACTGAGATTCGGTTGATGTCTACAATATACCAGTATACTGAACTGGAATACCATAATAGACATGAACTTGGAGAATTCATTCTGAAAAAAAACCACCCCTTTAAAATCGTGGAATATGTAAAATGAGCCATTCGGAATTTCCTGAACACCCAAAAAGAACAACTGCTTCGGATTGATGAAACGCATTTGCTAATGGAAGAATATAATTTAAAATAAGAATGATTGTTTATTAATTTTGAGTTCAGGAAAAATTTTATTCACTTCTGCTCTGAAAGTGCGTTTGATTAAGGGAACGAGACTATCAAGCTCAGGTTTCTGAGTAAAGTCCAAAAGTCTATTCTCTGTAGCTGGATAATGCTGTTTTATTTCTTTATAGATTATGCCCATTGCACCCACTCAAATTGTACAACCATATGAATATGATATGTACCAAGTTTTCGCCATTACCTTAAAAAATCGCACATCTTGTAGAAATTCTAACATGCAAGGTTTGAATATAAATTTTATTCCATTTATTTATTATTTATTTGCATTGAAAGAGTGAATTAACAAGAAAAAATGAAAAACTTTTTTTTATTGGATGTGTCTTTAAAACACAAACAAGAAAAAAATGCAGACTGCAAATCAAGATACTCATATTATTGACAACACGTAATTTTATTTTTATTGATGTTGAATACTAGTAATAAAGCAAGAATTATCTTGTCTTCTCAAATATATCCATGCATAAAGAAAAATCTCGTTTTGGTAGCGTCTAGAATATCTTGCGATGAGGACGGAGTGTCTATTATACAATTCAGCAACACTCTAGACATCAAGTACGTCTGGCGCGTACCAAATCACACTAATCGACAAGAGTACAATGACGAGGAATTCTATGATAAGTATGCTGTGCAGATGGGGGAAGTGGTCCACGCACCGCCACCTGTCGGTCAACAGCTTACCAATACTAATGTTACCGTCGTGGAATCGGTGAGTTTTTTTCAATGATATATCATCAAACATTGTATTTGCCATAGTAAGTAAACTTCGCTTGTTGTTGAATGTCACTTAGGAAGTGAATTATTGTTCTGTTTTAAAACGATGAGAGAAATTGGAAATGCAAGTTCTATTGAAACCTGTAAGATCAAATATTGCTTAGTTAAGTTGACTGCATATTTCGTCGTTGCAGGATCGTCACCGTGTGTCACAGGCGTGAACATCCAAATGAATGTAAAATATGACGCAATGGAATGGATAAATAAAGAATTCTAACTTCTGTTAGTGTTGTTCATTAACCTGAGACACACGGTGGACAATCATAATTCGCGGATACAAGAAATGACGTCATGATGATTTCTGTTAATAAAGAAAAAAACATTAATGTGAATATGTCGTTCATTTCTTGTCTCTGCAAATGTGCATTGTGTTGTCTCAGTTCATATTGATGTGACTATTGCTTTTCTGTAAAAATTGAAATAGTGTCAAAGTTATCAAATGGGTTTAAAACAACAATTAACGCCTGTTTGTACTTGTACAGTTGCCTTTCTTTCATTTTAAAGTATATACTGTATACAGGGAAATTTTCGCCTCCGTTTTATTTTCGCTCCTTTCGCCCTCTTCTTGAATGGGCGAATTTAAAACGGAGCGAATTCAAATAACACAGCATAAATTCTTAAACAGAACTTTGACTGGGCGAATTTAAAACGGGGCAATATTGTTTGCAATTCCAAAAGGGCGAAAATAACACGGGGCGAAAATAACCCTGTATACAGTACATAAATAATTATAATTTAGGGCTTCTCCAGCATTCCCATTTTTTATAAGCATTTGGTAAGAAATAAAGTATTGTTTACGACAAAAATGTATAGAACAGATATAACAGAAAAAGGCCTCTTTTCTAGAGTTGACTCGCTTTCCTAGTATGTTATATTTTCATTTCCTCTCTTGCTAAAAGGGGGTGTAATCTAAATACGCTGACAACATGGGATATGACTATTGAATTATATAGGTCTGTGAAACGAAAAATACAACGGACCATAATAATTACACATTGTGTGCACCAGAAAGCGACGCCGTAGTTTTCCGCGATCTGGAACCGGAAGTGATGTATGGAGTCAGGGTAAGGTATAAAAAATCAGTAACCCTCTTTTTAAATCCCTCGTCATCAGTTATTCAGACTCCAAAAGGTCTTTTTAAAAAGATAAGGCAAATATTAGTTTAACTGGCCACATGTAATATAAAATATTCTAAGACTGAATAAATCCTTTCAAAAATTTTCCCAAGAAAGAAAACCAAATATATGCATGTCTTCTAATAAGAAGAAAATAAAATTTTTTAACACATCACGTCAAATTCAGAAAATTTTGAGAATGGTGAGCAAAAGCAGTTATTAAGATAAATTTTGCATATACTCAAAACTTTTTAAAACTTATATGTTGAAGTCTTACAAATAAATATGTTACTTTAAGTAACTGTTTCTTGAACTAAGGAATTCGTGGTTGAATGTAAAAGGTTAAAATATCTAAACCATTGTATCTCTAGAAAGGTATTAAATAGATTGCTAAAAAGGAATATTTTAAAAATGCATCTTTTTTTTTAAAAATTTTTAAATGAAAGAAATTTGAGTAACTTAAATTTATTTTTTTATATTTTATTTTTAAAATAATAGGTCATTGGCTTAAAGGATTCAGAGCCATTGCCTACAGAAAAAAGATGGCGAATGATCAAAATCCACACCTTTACTTTGAATGAAACAATAGGTATAATGAATATTCGTCTCTATTCTGCTTTAATTTGATTTTAAAAATATCTTATACAAGGGAATGAAGGCACAAACTATTTTATAATCAAGAAATATAAATCTATTTCTAGAGGAGGTCAACGTGACATCTTCATCAGATAAATTGAAAGGTAGGTACATGTTTACCTAATGGTGAGAAAGATCAGTAAATTATTTATATTTAAAAATAACGTATTAGAATTACATGTAATTAAAACACCAGCAAAACAGAAAACATACTAAAGACGCATTAAGTATTCGAAATTATTGATTTCATTCAATATAATCGGTATATCATTTTTCCTCCACTTTTATTCATATGTAATGTATTGGTTACACCAAGCAAATAACAATCACTTTAGAATCCTATTACTAACTTACTGCCCTGGACACCTTTGGATTCCCAAACGTTATCACTAATTAGCTTCTGGGGTGTACAAATAATCATATTCTGTTCTTTTATTCTTGTTTCCACTTCTTTGCCAGGTGACTCTTGGTTTTCAGTTCTACTTCTTGTTTGCCCTCTGGTGTACATCAGTCTTAATGTTGCTCTCTGACTCCTTTCTGAATACAAGATCAAGCCATACCTATTGCCATCGGTTATTTTCTTATGATAATTATGACAATGTCCTTTTGGAACCTGTTGAGAAGGTCCTGGTTTGAGAGAGTAATTGACAAAAATATTCTAAGAATCCTCCTAAGAGACTTTCTATGAAAAGAAATTTTCAAAATCTCTGATAAAATGCATTTTTGTCCTGATAATTTATTGGTAAGTTCTCCAAATTGTTTGTAGCTTCTAAAAAAGCTGCCCTGTCTTTTTGGATCTCTGTTGTATATCTTCTGTTATATTTCTATTCCTTCATTTTTTACAACCCAAGTCCATGAAGGTGGTTGAAAATAGGAAGAGGTTGTTTCTGTATATTACTGTCTTCAAGTTAGTGTCATTTTATATAGTCTTGCATATTTTACCACATTTGGTGTTAAGAATTTTTTTCTAGTCCGTCAATCTCTATCTTCTAAGCATTATTCAATCTTTGCTCCGTTGCTTCTACATATACCTATATCCAAACTCACAGATTTTTTTCCACAAGACCCAGTGTAGAGGAAGCAAATTTCCTATTATTTTTAGTTCACCTGAGCCATAGGCTCAAGTGAGCTTTTCTAATCAAAATTTGTCCGTTGTCTGTCGTTGTCGTCGTCGTTAACTTTTCACATTTTTGACTTCTTCTCAAGAACCACTGGGCCAATTTCAACCAAACTTGGCACAAAGTATTCTTAGGTAAAGGGAATTCAAGTTTGTACAAAAGAAGGGCCACGCCCTTATTTAAGGGGAGATAATTGAGAAATAATGAAAATTTGGTGGTAAGTTTTAAAAATCTTCTTCTCAAGAACCATTGTGTCAGGAAAAATGAAACTTATATGGAAGCATTCTCAGGTAGTGTAGATTCAAATTTGTTCAAATCATGACCCCAGGGGTAGGGCAGGGCCACAATGGCCGATCAAAGTTTTACATAGACATATTTAGGAAAATTCTTTAAAAATCATCTTCTCAAGAACCACTGTGCCAGGAAAGATGAAACTTATAGGGAAGTATCCTTAAGTAGTGTAGATTCAAGTTTGTTCAAATCATGACCCCCGGGGGTAGGGCAGGGCCACAATGGCCGATCAAAGTTTTACATAGAAATATATAGGAAAATTCTTTAAAAATCTTCTCAAGAACCACTGTGCCAGGAAAGATGAAACTTATAGGGAAGCATCCTCAAGTAGTGTAGAAACAAGTTTGTTCAATCCATGACCCCTGGGGGTAGGGCGGGGCCACAATGGCCGATCAAAGTTTTACATAGAAATATAAAGGATAATTTTTAAAAATCTTTTTCTCAAGAATAGCAAAGGCATGAATGATCACATTTATATGGAAGCATCCTCAGGTAGTGGACATTCAATTTTGTTCAAATCATGTTCCCTGGGAGTAGGGCGGGGCCACAACATGGAATCCAAGTTTTTACATAGAAACATGTAGAAAAAAATCTTTAAAAATCTTTTCAAGAATAGCAAAGCCATGATTAGTCCTATTCATATGGAAGCATTCTCAGGTAGTGTAGATTCAATTTTGTACAAGTCATGACCCCTGGGGATAGGGCGGGGCCACAGTGTAAGTTTAAATGTAAAGGACAATAAAGCCACAGATAGTCAAAGAAATATGCAAGCATCCTTAGTTAGTGTAGATTCAAGTTAATTGTTAAAATCATACCCTCTCCGTTTTAAAGATTGGTTGGGACCACTATTGGGTTTAAACTGTTCAATAATAAATTGATTTCTGCTTTTTTCCTAGCCACATTGCTCAGGTGAGCGATGTGGCCCATGGGCCTCTTGTTTGTTGATTGATAATTATAATGCCGTTCTCAAATTCTAGGTTTTGTAGCACATCAAACCTATCGTTAGTTTGTTATTGAATCCACTGTGTATTTAAACCCTTTTGGGCCTGTATTTCACAGCAAATGCAAAAAAGGAAAGAAATTCCGTCCACATGGTGAAATCTTTGAAACAATACATCAATATGTTTTATTCTTAGCTTTCTTTGCAAGTTTAAGCGTTCATCGGGTCATACCAGTGGTCATTAGAAACTTGGAAATCAAAATTCATGAAAGATAAAAAGCATGGTTTGCATGTCTTTCAATTAAGTGTCTGAAAACCATGTATTAATAAAAGTTGACCCAGTTCGTGAATTTTGATGGTCATATCATGACTATTCGTGATCAGATTTTTGTATTCGATTAAGACAACCCGTGTCGCACTAGTGTTAGATATGCGCATGCTCACTGATTGAACTCTAGTGATCTAAATAAAACATCTCGTGTTGTTTAGTGTTTGTATAAATATGGCGGGGATAACAGTATATTCCCTGTATATCTCCTCTTTATTAGGGTGTTGCTAAAACGCTGAACGGAAAACGGAACGGAAAATTAATGTAAAGCAAATAACCTAGATTTGATATAAATCACACATAAAAAGCAATATTCATGATATAAAAGGCACCGAGCTAATTAAATATTATCGTAAAATACGATGTATTCATGAATCTGATGCACCCCTCAGAACTGGCACATGTACATGCGATGGTCAAAAAATATAGTCTGTGAGATATGTACTAATTAGACTCAAATCCAGAGTATCCCTGAAGGTTTCGTTCAAATTGATTTTTTTTAAGAAAGCTCATTCATAAACAAAAAAAAATGAAATAGGCGGAAGGAAAAAAAATACTAGGATATACATACATGTATCTGTAAAGACAAAAAAGCATGCACCCGTTTTGACATTCAGATTATGCATGCAGTGGCGTATCCAAGAATCTTGAAGGGGGGGGCAGTTTGGGGTCGGAATAGGTGCCATCAGCAATTAAAATATGAACATAAGAAAAAAAGTTCTTGCAAAGGAATTTAACAGCGTGTTCAACTGTTTTCTTTAGTTGCAATTTTCCAGATATGAGAGGAAAAACAGGGAAACTCAAAATGTTTACGGGGTCATTCATACCCATCCACCACCTCCAAACACACTTTAACTTTATTGACTGTACAGATGATACATAAATTTTGCCACAGTTAAGATTTATGACTCTATCTATATATCCAGGGTTTTAATAGATAGAAAGTAGCTCTATTTTGTATAAAATTTTAACAGTTTTACACTCTAGGTGTTTATCCGAGCTTGCCGGAGAGGGGTACTCTAGCAGTAATCTTAAGATATTTTTTTTTAGATTTTATTTCTCATGATTCATTTTTTATTTTATGATTCATTTAGCAGAGGCGTAGTCACAAACTTAAAAGTGGGGGGCTCAACTCTTTGACAAGCAAAAAAAAAAAAAAAAAGGTCATCAGACGGCTTTAATGAGGGGGCACCAGCATACAGTACCTAAGTTTTCTGTAGTATTCTATATATTGCCAACCCTCCAACCCCCAATTCCAAAGACTTAAGGCCATGTGTGTTAAATAAAGAAGTATTAAGATGTACAACATGCATGTAATATCCATGGGAATATAGGATATGTAATACGGGGGTATGGCATGAAATAATATCAGTCATATCACACTTTGAATGGTGGGGCCTAGGAGACGAAGCCCCTGGAAGCTCCTGAGTTTTTGTGTAATTTAATAGTAAAACCAGAAACAAAAATAGTGGCATTGGATGTAAAAATAAAAGAGTGCTAATGAATCAGCAAAATTAAATAATTAAAAATCCGGAGGTTTGACAAAACTTACTTTGTGACTATGTTTTATACAAGACATGGGATACAGCAAATAAATAATGACTTTCAGATGTCAACATAAGGGGTAGCTTGTGATTCTCATTTAATTTTGTTAGATAACAGATGCTGAGTGAAACAGAAACGTCTAAACTTAAATTCATGACCTGCACTCCCTATCCCAAACTTGCGAACACAAGAGGTCTTGACAGATTTAATTACTATATTACATTTCTATATTATACAACTATTACTTCAAGAGAAATGCTTACTCAGTTGTTGTTGAAAATAAAAAAAAAATGCCATAAAATGAGGTTTTATATTATTTCAACATAGCTGTGATTTTGCTCTTCACTGAAAATTGGGGGGGGGGGCACAGACATACTCTTGCCCCCCCCCCCGCCCCGATCTGAAAGTAAGGGGGGGGGGCTAGTGCCCCCGCTGCCCCCCCCCCCTGTACTACGCCTATGTTTAGATATCAAGTGTTTGCCTCCCTTTTTCCAGACATAAGGTTTTCACTATAGAAATGTTCATTGAAACCCCCAACACTTTCTGTTAAATTGATGTAGTAAGTTAGTGTAAAAATAAATACTGAAAGAAGTTTGAGTTGGAATTTCCCCCCCCCCCCCTTCCGAATAGAACAATTGTTTTCTTTTTTTCGCTTGTCCAGTTCTTTTCGGGTACTAGTAAATTGATTGTTTCTTCACCGACGACCCCCCTTTCGAAAGCGATGCTACGTCACTGCTATGTCAGTGGTTTTCGTGAATAAGAGACTTAACATGGCTATAATCAACTTGCACTTATTAATGAGGGATTAAATATGCATAAGTTTACCGTTTCTGATAAAATTTGTGTATTTTAAATGAGTTATTTTCCGTTTTCCGTTACGCG